ATGGCAAAATCAACAATCTATACTATTCTTATAAATAAAGAAACAATCATGTCTTTCCTTCCATTTTCTAAACAATAACATCTCTTTCCTTCTGCTTCCATTTATACCATCAACTCTCCTACATGCAGGTACGGTAAAATTTAATGTGTTTGTCTATATTTTATCTGTTTAGTATTGGGTTTATTTAGTTATTTCTTAGATTTAATGATTTTCATTAGTTTTGTGTATAAACTTGTGCACAAAGTACTGTTGTAAAAGTTTAAATAAGCAATCATCTTGAGACCCGGAACGGATTAATCTATTTTACATTGATTCCTATTGAAAGAATATTTTCGGTTTCCGAACATTTCGGCTTACGAACAGGCTTCAGGAACGAATTGAGTTAAGTTCCACTGTATATTAATTAAACAAAATTGTTTGAAGAAAGTTAAAATAAAATAAAAATAGTGTATAAACAACTCGTATTTTTAAATCTTATTCACTTAAATCAGATTAACTTAATTCATTATGTGCCGGACGGACGCACCACGCAAGCACGCACGCAATCACAGACTTTTAGATAGATGGCACAAGGCTTTGGGTTTTGAAGTTTAAGATTCGTCCGTCTTTCACGCTTACAAATAAGCCTTTATTTATTTATTTATTTATTTATTTTCGTGGTTTTCCTTTCTTTCTTTTTCTTTTTTCTTAAGATGTTTTCTTTTTTATCTTTTTTCAGATCATATTCACTTTACTTAACTGATCAAGTTTACATTCCTTTCTTTTCTTTTTTCTTTTCCTTTTTTTCTTTCCCATTTTTCTTTCCCATTTTTCTTTACTTTCTTTCTGTTTTCTTCACGCAAGCAGACGTAAGATCTTCTCAGTTAATTCTACTCCTTGTCTCAAAGTATCCCTTCCTCATAACCAACCCCTTCCTTCTGCTTATCATCATCTGTTCCATTTTCCTTCCCTGCCAAGCATCCAACTCGCCGAAATTTTACTCCTACCAACAACATTTCCTTTTTATGACCTTAAACGGTCATTAACAGAGGCTGGAGTGCCCCAGAACGCAGGGCTCCAATGTCTCGAACTTGTGGGATGAATACGGGAACATGAGTTTCAGCTGTGAAATTCGACCTTAGGGGTTTACGGTAGACAAAGCAAAACCCCGTACAGACTTTTATTTTAATCTGGCCAAAGACTACAAGGCGCTTGCACCCAAATATAATCGTATTCACAAATATACGCTAACATACAATTATACTTACCGTTTTGACGACATATAAATCGCACGGGTGTATAAGACGCACCCCAATTTCAGCAGGAAAAATCAAGAAAAAATTAGTAATTAGTAAAATTATTAGTAAATTGTAAATTGTAATATGCCTAGGCTATATTTATGAGGCATTATATTGGTTAAACAAGGTATGATTACAACTAAAGTAAAAATAATAGGGGAAAAGAACAGGAGCCTATAAAAACTTTTTATTATATCCAAAGGTAAGAAAACAAAATAAAAATCAAGCAATTATTACAATTGAGCAAAACAGTTACCATTAAAATTTTGGAGGTTAGATCTGACGGAACCAAGGAATGTAGTTAATCCGAGCACTTTCCATATGAACAATAGTTCAAACAAGATATCAGTTTTCGGCGCAACCCACTTCCCAGAATCTGACCAAAGTTAGATGAGAGATAATAACGATGCTTAGCATACATAATGGTAATGGTTATATTAGCCGTTTCCTTATAAGGAAATATTCGGCATTCATTGATCGAGCATTGTCGGTTGAAATTTATAAAATCTTTCTATTAAAACAATTTTTCAAGAAAATAGGTTTCTCAAGTACAGCAGCTGTTATAACTTTTTACCATTACAGACTGCTGTTTCCTTCCTAACCTTTTGTTTGAAGTAGTGTGGAAGATCATCCTCTTGATTATGTCATTATTTTCTCTTCGAGTTAAATGGGATATCCATTTTAGCAGTTGCCGTTGTTGAAAGTCCTCAAATAATGTGGTTTCTCTTATTCGGCACAGTTCTTTGTTTGTGATTGTGTAGCGCCAGTCCACAAGGTTCGAAGACGGGTGATCCTCTCTAAGACTTACTGTTCTTAGAAGGCACACTAAAAGTCACAAAGAAGTTTAGAAGTATAAGTCAGTGGTTATAATAAACATTTCTAAGTCACGGACCCCTTTTGTCAAGGACGCTTTGAGGCACAGGCCCCTATAAGAACTAACCCTACATAGACAGACAGACAGACAATTGACTGGTTTTTCACAACACTTATACGTGCATTTCTCAACACTGCACACTCGTGCATACATATCACTTTTCAGCCAGACACGCTTGAAAGAATTTGTGTTCAATTAATCGTCACCATTATATTAGAAGACAGTGAAACCCTGGTAAACTGTGGAACATGTGAGTTATAACTTGCTTGGAATGGCAAAAGATGGCTGTCGTATGGAGAATGATAACACATGTTTAAATGGTATACAGGGACACAACAGCAAGTCAAATACGCCTAGCGGTCGGCATTGTAAGTAGTGACTGGGTGCGTTTTCTTTTTAAAAGTGGCAAAATACATTTGCATTTATTTCTTTCAATGAAAAACTGCTTAGTGGGAGAAGTGCTGTATATAAATGTTTATTTTTTATCAGATCCTCAACCCTGAAAACTACCCATGAACCCACTAGATATCCGTGGAGCACATGTGCAGAAATCCTGGTATATTTATTTTTTCTTTTTCAAATTTTGCTTATGAATTGAAAATTAAGTTTACATTAGTAATTTTAAAATTGGTTTTTAATTTGGAAATGAAACAGATAAATTCTCTTTTTTAAATATCTTCTCTAATTGACAGATTGATTTTCGTATTTTAGGAGTGAAATTCAACCGTAGATTGTTTTGGTTACGATGTCCATGTCTAAGAGAATTTCGTCTTGTTCGTTATTTTAAATTAATGCATGCTATAGTTCAGTCTAGCATCATTCCTCCATCATTCCTCCATAGTCAGCTTATGAACTTTTTAGCCAATCTTCGTAAATATTCGGTTGTTCAGAAAATAATATTCGTTTTTAGAATAATATATTATTATGATAGTTGCACGAAAATAAATTATTCATTCCTAATAAATTTAAGGCCAAATAACTAAATTTTAATAAAATATTAGATTATTAGAATAAATACCTAAATTTTTAAGATTGCTGGGTAGTTAAAAAATTATATAAAAAGTTACTCACATTATATTCGTAAAATATTTTTGTAAATATACCCCCGTAGAAAAATCCGAACATAAGTCTGTCTAGATAGTTGTGAACACCTCATAAAAAACACCAACATCCGTCTTAAAAATGTATTTTTGCGATGTTTTAAAATAAAAGTAATGTTTATTTGAAATCAGATTAATTTAACTTTAAATCATTTCAAATAAAGTTTCAAAAACGTATATTTTATTTTTGAAAGATTTTTTAATTTTAATAAAGAGAATCACATTGTGCTGAAAGAATTATAAATATGGCTAAAATCAAACATTTTTAGTGATTTAAAATGAAACTCATTCCAATCAATTAAACTGGTTTTTGAAATACAGAAAAGTATTTTACTTACTGAAAATATTAAATTTAATCAATTAGGTTGAAATTAGAAGTAAAATAGAAGCTTCAAGAAAAAATTTTAATTTTTAAAAATTCATTTTAAACTTTAGGTATCGCTTGTCTTTTGAAGTACACATATATATATATATATATATATATATATATATATATATATATATATATATATATATATATATATATATGAATATAATGAGAACAAAAGTAATATATAAATTCTAACGTTCAAAGCATTTATTCAAAAGAGGGTTCAATATCGATAGTAGACCAGTAATTAATTATTATAATTTTTTCATATAGACAAAAATAATGTACCCACTACAAAGATGCAATTTCGTTTCGGTGCATTTAGTTGAACCTCGACTGGTGAGAACTAAAATGGAAAAGATTACTACAATTCAGCGGCCTCACTATTTTATAAAGAATTTGAATTTTATGTTTTTCACCAATCGAGGTCTAAATGCACCGAAACGAAGTTGCATCGTTCTTGTGAATACATTGTTTTGTCTATATGAAAAAAATATAAATATATATATATATATATATATATATATATATATATTTGCTCGAGTGTTTGAGGATCAATTGCCACATGTTTCCCTGAGTAGACAGCAAAGCTTCCTTTACTGCATGCGACAAAGTTACGGTGGTACAAGGCTGTCATTGAGAGGAGTAGCATGCTGCTAACTTTCGCTAATATTTACACGCAGTTGATCCCGGTGTTCAAGTCGACCTCGCTCAAACCTTTGTATAGATGAGAAAGGGAACAGGCGCCCAGCACCTTCGCTCTGACGCTTTGTTTCCGAGGAAGAAAAGGGTATTCTGCATCGCTTCAGAATGAGTTTGTCTCTGAAACGCAAGAGTGACCTTCCAACTGACCTGCTTGTTCGAAGTTGTAGGAAGAGGAATGTTTTCGGAAGTCTGCTATCGCTCAAACAAGAAAGATGTTCTGCTCACATGAGTTGGATTATCATTAAGATGGCTTCAGTACCCGTCATGTTGCATTTATTCAGAACTTCAATTTATAATGCGATTACCAAGTTTTCTGTTGCAGATCATACGTAGGCCACGCATGTGGAAGGCATCAAGTTGATTGGTGTTTTCGCGGTATAGAGGCCAAGATTCTACGCCATATAGTACTGTTGCCAGTAATAATGACACGTCCACATCAATTTTCACTTTTAACGAAACTTCACGGGTATACCAAAGTCCGTGATAAAGATTACCGAAGGCATAGCTAGCCTTTCCAATCCTGCACTCAATTTCTTTGTACATTTTAACCTCGTTGGATGCAGTGGAGCCAAGTTAGGTGAAAAAGGAAACTGTTTTCAAGACTTTTCTTTCAACATAAACAGTGGGACCTACAGCTAGGGGTGTAGTTACAGTTCCATTTTTTATGCTGATAGCATCTGTTTCGCACAGGAGGAACTTTCTTTCAGTTCATCTCTGCACATGACTCTCTCACTCTGTCTCTCTGTCTCTCTCTCTTTCTCTTTCTCTCTCTCTCTCTCTCTCTCTCTCTCTCTCTCACCCGTTTCTTTACAGTTTATTGTCTCCCTTTCTTTCTCTATTCTTATTTATCTATTAATTGAAATGAGTCGTGGGTATAATTAAAACGCTAACAAAAGTTCACATTCTTGAAATTCAGCCAACATCTCTTTATTTGTAACTAGCCTAAAAGCCGCCCTTTAGGCGCATATTAGGCTAGCTCTTGCGGAGGGCTTTCGGGCCTTCGGGGTTTTACCTTCAGCGTAAACGCAACGTAAAACTTATAAGAATTTAGAAATCATAAATTTATTTTATCTTTATTAGACACATTAATTCGGCATAATCTTTCTTCGTATACGCAACCCATCTCCGTAGTTTTGTTTACATTTATTTTGCGCCTAATTTTTATTTTCTTTTAAAATCACCATTCTTTATGATCTTTTGACATAAAGCCGCTCTTAAAAGACATTTGGGAAACCGAACTATGTAATATTTCGAATACGTCACAGTACGCGTGCTAGAAAAAGAAAAAAAAATGAGCAACGTACCGTGCCCAGCTTAAGTTGTAATTACGGTTCAGTTAGACTATATCAATTGCAATTGCGAAGAAAAGCGAAATTAAATTTAAATTTTTAACAAACAATTGTTTTTTTTAAACCTTTCACTCTGTTCGATATTTAAATTTAACTTTAAATGAGTTATTTATTTAATTCTTAATCACGTGTAACTACATTAGTTACTATCTGTTACTTCAGGTTGTTTATGATTCACCGTGATCGAAAAACGGACGGACGGACGGACACACGTACACTATGCTTTATTTATATAGATTATTTCGATCTCCGTAATTATCTCAGAAATAATCGTCGGTTAATTAAGTAATTTTTTTTTAAAAATCTGGTACTAAATTAATGTCGTTGTATTAAATACGCTTTCATTTGATGTCATCTTCCAGGATCTATTTTTATGCAATATTTTTTCACACATTCATCAATCACAAAATAAAAATTTCTGCCTGAATTATTGGGATAAGAAGGCCATTACTTACACTATTCACATGTGAACTAGTATCTTCATATTTGTTATTTTTATCACACGTTTAAGATCGTTGTACTCTTCGGTCTTCATCAAGTATATGTTGTCCGGGTAACCTACAGGCAATTTCGAACTGAAAACTTTATTTAATCTATGGGGATATGTTGTTCTCGTTACACTTTTGCTTTTGCTTTTTTACAGTGATGTTCACCCTATACAATTCCTAAGAGCCACTCGAGGTAGATGGTTATATGGAAATATACCGGGAAGATAATTAAGATTGTAGTGATCAGGTAAGCATCCTCTTGGATCTCGGTTCAACTGCCCGTGTCTAGGGATATCTCATCTAGATTAAATAAAGAATTCAGTTCGAAACTGCAGGTTAGCCAACTCGAAATACACCAAACTATGATACGGAACAGCCCTCACCCATCTATGATACAGGGCCCCACATTACAATTTTCATGAAGTATTATTCATATAAAATACATATTTTATTGTAACCTAATTATGTACAATAATGGATCATATGCAATATAGGTGAACAATTCAACTAGAAAAATTGAAAATAAATACAATGTATCTAAACACGAATTAGAGACATGTCATAATTGATCATTCAATCATAAATAAGTCAACAATAGTGTGAGGCAATTTTTAACATCAACTTCAGATTTTTCTTGTAAAAATGTTAAATAATTTTTTTTAACAAATTCAACATTATCGCTAAAAAAATATTAAATTTTATATATTGATTTTTTTTTCGAGACTTGTCATGAACCAAACAAATTCACGGATTTGAACCCAAATAAAAGTTTATGACGTATAAATGTAGATAAAAAAGGAAGGAAAATGTTAATAAGATAGCGAGAGTCACAAAGCACTGCCCGAGTCCCCCAATCAGGCTTTCACCCACCTCCCAATCGGTGCGTTCGGGAGTAGTAAGCGCCGTCCAAGGTTTTGTTATTTGGTAAAAATCTCTGTGATTATGTAGCGTCAGTCTGTGGTGAAGAATTTACAGCATTTGTTCGTTCGTTTAAAGTCATTTTCAACTACTGATTCCACAAATGAATTGGACGCCATGCCTAAAGATCTGCAAGAAAGTCTAAATGCACCGAGGCTAAGTCCAGTTGTTCTAATATTTGGGTTTTGTCGCGTCTTACGGTGCTGGACAAAAAGTAGCACAACTCCAGACCCCCAACCCTCTGCCCTCGTCCTCTGTTCAACTTCTTTATCTCGTCGACTAAATTTACTATAACTGATCCATGCACCGAGGTATTTAAAGTGCTTAGAATTAAACATTCTGAGATGTTATCAGGCTTTCAGATTAGATGCTATCATTGCGAAGACGTGTATGCTTTCTGGGCTCTTTCATTCAGATAAGGAAACATACAGGAAGACTTCTGCTAAGACAATGGATTCTTCGGCTATTTTTTTAAAAAAAATCATTTTCTTGGATTGTCTGATATGCTTAGAATTGATTTTAATGCATGTCTACAAGAATAACATAAGATTTTCATTTCAACCTTCTCTCACCCACGAACTCTTACAGATTGAAGAATATATTATTATTATTAACAAAGAATGATTGACAATATTTTGCCACATTTAGAAAAAAATGCGATTTATGAAAAGAAAAAGAAAGATGGTACAGTGTTTAACAATATTTCGACAGTATATTTGCCTTTATTCCGGTAGGGTTTAAAAATTGAATACAACTTCTATGCAATTTTTAAACGTAATTTGGAGAAGACAGACGTACTGTCGAAATGTTGTTAAAGTTTTTTTTCTTTGTCTTTTCTTAATTTGCATGCAATTCTTGAACATAATTTGACGAAGAAAGACATACTGTCGAAATGTTGTTGAACATCGTTAAACACTGTCTTTTTTCTTTTGGTAACTTGTACGCTATTTTCAAACATAACTTGAGAACAGGCCTACTGTCGAAATATAGTTAAACTCTGTCTTTTTTGCTTTTTCTTTTGTGTGCAATTTTTAAACATAATTTGAAGAAGACGGGCATGTTATTAGACATATTGTTAGATATGTTATTACACATGTTATTAGACATGTTCTTAGACATGTTATTAGACATTTTCTTAGACATGTTCTTAGACGAAACATTGTTAAACACTGGTTTATTTCTTTTTTTATCTATTCTTAAATCGCGCGTTCTTCTCTAAGTTTTGTGCTATTATTTCCTCCGCTGTATACACATTTCCTTTGGGGTCTCAACCAGAGATTTAAGATCAGAAATTTTCTACTGATCATTTTGTAAAATAAAAAACCTAAAAAAATCTAACATCACGCACATTTTGCTTAGATAAAGCTCTTCGTAATGTGTAAGCTGTACTTGTGTTTTTGTGTTTTTTTTTTGTTTGTTTTGTTTTTATTTTGTTTTTTTTTTTTTGTATTTCTTTAAGGCGTGGGCTTCCAGGAATCCGTTAATTGAGCATATCGGAACATTTTCCAATCATTCCGAGGGCTCCAACTACAACTTGAATTATTGATGTCCTCATGTACCACATTATTTAGATTTCCACTTCAAGATAATTATATTTTGAAGATCTTCAAAGATTCATTACAACCTGTAGAAATAAGAAAACACTTTCTGTTATTGAAGTCTTTGATCTTCAATGTCTGTGCGATTAGCTTTGAACGTTCTGTCTGTGCGTGTCGTAAAATCCCATAAAATTGTTACAGGTCCTATCACTGTGACTGGGTCAGGGTGATGTTCATACCAGTTCCTTATAGATTCCTTCTCGTAAAAGTTGCATATTTTCCAATACAGATATTGGCCAAATGTGTCATGCCGTGTTTTATATTCAATGAGCGCTAACACCGTGCAACCTGATACAGAATAAGTCAATTGTTTCTGGATGTTTGTCACATAATCTGCATTTAGGAGCTAACACAATTTTTCAGTGTGTGTGTGCTTGGCAATTTCAAGTTAGCAAGCATTGGTCACGTGCAGCAAGAATAAAACCTTTGGTTTCAGCTTTCAACCTTGCACTACGTAAACACTGATGAGTGCATGGTTTGTCTACATCAGCCTGTTTGGTACGGGCTGAGTATTGACCATGAAGATGCTTATCTTGCTATCGTTTTTGCATTTGATACATTGCATTTGCTTTTACTTTCTTTTTTTTAGGTTCTTTGCCGCTGAACTGGACATATGGTTTATTTGCATTTCTTCGCCCACAAGAAATTCCCTTTTGAATAGGTTGGCTTCCTTTATAACTGAATAGAATTTCTTGATTCATGTTCTTTGACACAGATCATCATCCAGTCTTCTATCGTTTCCAGGTATCTTTGAAGACCGATTGTTGTAGTTTTGTAAGACAGTTCTAGTTGAACTAATCCTCTTCCTCCTTCGGATCTGGACACATACAGACGATCAACATCAGCCTTGGGATGATAGATGCGTTGGCAAGTGAGAAGCTTTCTCGTTTTGACATCCATTCGCTTTATGTCAGCTATGGTCCAGTTAAGGATATTGAAACTGTATTGCATTACAGGGTGTTTATGGCTGATATTCTGATTTGTGACTTCAACTCTGTATTTAGCACCAGACGCACGCGTCTGTGGTACTCTTTTCTTATTTTCTCCATCATTTGGGTGTTCTGTATTCCATCTCCTTCACTGACTATTATTATTATTATTATTATTATTATTATTATTATTATTATTTATTTATTTATTTATTTATTTTTATTTTTTTCGTCAATTATTTTTTCTTAACATAAATTTTAATGAGTTCGTAAAAATTTGAAAAATGAAATGCTTGTGAAGTATGTCTACGTACACAGACAATACGTATGCATCCTTAGACGGTCTCTGTCTTTACGAAGACATTCAACAGCATCTGGGAAGCCTTTTAACAGAGCACGGTAAGTTCGACATAGAAATCCGGAGGTGTATTAACCAAAGATGCATTCCAAAAGCTAAGCTGAGTATTAAGAGACAGAAAAAAAAACTCCGTTAGAAACAAAGAAAGGAATACTGAACTGTTAGTTATATCCGTCCTCCTATATGGTAGTGAATGCTGTACAATCTTATCAAAGATGAAGAAGAGACTTGAAGCAACAGAAATGTAGTCCTACAGAAAGATGCTGAGAATACCATGGACCGAATATGTGAGCAACGGCAAAGTTTTAGAGAAAATTGAAACAAAAAGGACATTTATACTTAACATCAGGAAAAGACAGTTGAAATTTCTAGGGCACATCATGAGGAAGGAAGGCTTGGAAAATCTGATACTCACAAGACAGATAAAGAGCAAGAGGGACATAGGAAAACAAGGGATAACATACGTAGAAAGCTTGAGTAAATGGATGGTGGAACAGGGTTTAGGAGAAATAACAAAAAGACAAAATGTATTAAGAGCTTCAAATGACAGGAAATTGTGGAGTGCTATGATCGCCTACGTCTTGAGGAGACATGGTACAAGAAGAAGAACAAGAAGAAGAAGAAGAAGAAGAAGAAGAAGAAGAAGAAGAAGAAGAATTATTTGGGGTTTTCTTTCTTAACATTGACATTACTTTTTTCTTTTTCTTGACGGAGCAGAGATGTGTGTACATGCACAATGATCTCATACACATTTGCTTTTTCTTCTTCTATGTGCCGTATCACTTAAGGATGTGGATGATAATGGCCCTTCACAACTTCCTGTACTTTGTATCTCCTCATCCCTGTTCTGCCAGCCATTTACGTCGTTATGTAGATTGCTCACTATATTCCTCTCTCCTTCTTAAATAGAGCTTACGGTCATATTGCGTTAAAACAACGGTACCTGTATGATCACCGAAGCTAAGCAACGTCGAGTCTTCTCAGTACCTAGATGGGTGACCACTTGGGAATTCCAAGTGCTGTAAGTTTGGAAGCGCGAGTGGTAGAATAGGCATAGGGCCATATCACTTTGAAACCCCGGTTCTAGTACGACCACCGACGTTAAGCAACGTCGGCGATCATGGCTCTCCACATTTTCCTGTCCTTTGTAGCTCTTAGTCTTTTTGCTCTCTCACCTTGTCCCTGTTCTGCCAGCCATTTACATAAGATGAATATGTTGTTTACTCGCGACCCCTCCCCCTCTCTCTTGCCTTGAACTTTGTCCTGCGAGGGTTAAATTTAATGAATTCTCTACCTGAAGTCACACTGTTCAGGTTTTTACACGTACACCAAGCACACACACCCCAAGCCTCACACGTACACACACACAAAGCACACACATATCAAGCACACACCAAGCACACACGCATACACACACCAAGCACACACATACCAATCACACACATACAGACCAAGCACACACGCACATACACACACACCAAGCACACACATACCAAGCACACACGCACGCACACACCAAGCACAAACGCACACAAACATCAAGCACACACGCATACAAACACCAAGCATACACATACCAAGCATACACACCAAGCACACACGCACAGATACACCAAGCGCGCACGCGCACACACACCAAGCACACACACACACCAAGCACACACATACCAAGCACACACGCACACCAAGCACACTCGCATACACACACCAAGCACACACGCTAAGCACACACGCACACACACCAAGCACACACGCACACACACCAAGTACACACATCTAGCATACACATACACCAAACACGAACACATACCAAGACCAAGCACACACATGCCAAGCACACACGTACACACACGCCAAGCAAACATACACACACACGAAGCACACACATGCCAAACACACACACCAAGCGCGCACGCATACACACGAAGCACACGCGCACACACACACCAAGCATACACATACCAAGCACACACACACACCAAGCACACACGCACGCACACACACCAAGCACACACGCATACACACACACTAAGCACACACGCATACACACACCAAGCATACTCATACCAAGCACACACACATACACACACACTATACGCTTATACCAGAACTTTCCAAACTGGTGTGTCGTGATATTACGGTGTGATTAATTACCGGTTCTGTCGTTACATACTGGATGTGTGGTTGGTGTATGGATAGCGGCTCGGAATGAGTAATTGGAGTACCGATTTCGAATTATAGTCGCCTTCGTGGCATTCACTTACATACAAATACCCATACATAAGGTATAAATCCATCTCCCCTAACTATGGGTTAAAGAGGAATACTTGTATCTGGAAATATCATTGTTATTCTCAAAACAGTTAATACAATATTCGCCCACAAAAAATTAGGTGGACAGTAAATGAAAACACATATTTTGAGATTGCATCAGTCAGCAAGGTGCCATGCGTGAGACACGCTTTGGCGATCATGTATCCTTCGATAGATTACTGACGTAGGTTGCCATTTTCTTCTGCAGTAGACATCCAAGGCTATAGAACCCAGTCTGTTCTACTATTTACCAATAATTGGGGGAGATTCATACCTTTCTTAGCACGTAAGTGAATATAATGGATTCCACTGGAACTCGAACTCGGCTCTCCGATTACTTAAGCTCTCCGATTACTCCACCGTCTCTCCATTACATACTACTACAATTAAATTTTGATAAACAATTATTATATATACAATTAAATTTGTTATCTGAAATTATTGGATTTTCTTTAATATCGTTCAGCATGATCTCACTAAATTGCAGCCGTCTGTCTGGATCATCCGTCAATAAGCCATGGATTAACCGTTGGAAGATAAGTTTTCAATCCAAGAGAGGTTTGTGAAATGTCCAGTACCGCTGAGGATCTGCTAGTAGACATTTTGGGACTGTGAAAAAATGCTTCGACAACAACTTGCTTATGGTCTTCTATGCAAACTGTTTTGGGTCGACCAATTTTGGGGATATTAAGAATTGATCCAGTGGCATCAAATTTGTCACGAATATTGTAAATGACTTGTCTCTTTGAGGTTTGAGTATCAAATGTTTCTACCCATTTTGTTCTAAATGTTTCAGAATTTTGAAACTTCCAAGTCTCTTTTAACAGCCATTTTCTTGCATCATTATTTAAATTATTTGTCATTATGGATTCCTTGAAGCTATCTGAAAAGAAAAAAGGAGTAAATTTAAATAAATTTAGTTATAAAATTCAATATAACACAAACGCCATAGTTATAACTACCAGTCTAACCCGTCTTATAACCGATATATATATATATATATATATATATATATATATATATATATATATACTAGCAGTATAACCCGTCTTTGACCGGGTCTTTCATTTCTGGGAATTTTTGCCGTTCAATTGGAACACTTTAAGTTTAAAGTCAGCCCACCCAAAAATCAATATTATTAACAGTAATTGGATGTAACTGAGGCACCCCCCAAATGGGGGTGGGGTTAACAGTTTGATTGGGGGGGGCTCTGAAAAGAGGCGTTTTTGCGTTCTCAATATTGCAAGGAAGGAAACTATTCCATAGACCGCCATAATAATATACGATAATTTTTATTTATAATATATTTTTTTTTTGTAATTCTAAAAATCTTTTGTGTCAGATATCAACTTTCTGAATTGATTGTACGCTGTTTTTTTTACAGACATTAAATTTAATCCTTGGTCTTTGTGCAAAGTGTAAAAAAAACATTTTTTTTTTCGATTCAAGGTTGTAATTTTTTGTAATTTTTTCCCGCCACTTTGAACTCAAAACCGGCACTGAAGAATTATCATCAAACAAAAAAAAAAAAGGAAAAGTCATCGAAATCGGATGAAAACTGGAAACGCATAAACAACATCCGATCACACGCACATACATACACACACACATTTTGAGAATTACAGATATAGATATAAAATACAAACCCTATTCAACCTCAGTAGATGGACTGTAGTACCAAACTAGTATATAAGGGATGAACCCCTTATATACTAGTTTGATACCCGTCACTTCGCTGGAATAAAGGTGATCAGGTTAGAAATCTAAATTGTTTGTCCAGTTAAACTACTACATTTACTAGAAAATACATTCAGCTCAAAATTACGTTAGAAAAGACCGCTATTTTTAACTGATGCGCTTTTGCTGTTGCCCAACTGGGCAGAATATTGCGAGACAGGAGGAATTCTTTGGTAACAACGAAAAGAATACTGAGCTGTTACGTGATTTCTATCCTTCTTTACGGCAGCGAATGTTGGACGATTTCCTCAAAGATGAAGAAGAGACTCGAGGCGATGGAGATGTGGTTCTACAGAAGGATGCTAAGGATCAAGCGTGTGAGCAACGATGAGGTCTTAGAGAGGATGCAAACAAGGAGCAGGCTTATACTTAACATCAGAAGGAGGCAGCTGAAGTTCCTGGGATACATAATGAGGAAGGAGAGCCTAGAGAATCTGATACTCCGAAGGAAAGAAAGACAAAGGGAAACAACGCATGACATACCTAGCGGTCTTAAGCAAGTGGATGACAGAACGGGGTCTAGGGGAGGTGGCAGAGGGAAGGAACTTGTTGAGAGCTGCAAGGGATAGAGGGGGGGTGGAGAGCCATGATCGTCTACGTCCTGAAAGGACACGGCACATAGAAAGAAAACACAGATGACAATTTTAATTTACTTCGAATTGCGCGTGTACGTAACCTTTGTGTGTGTGCACGGTTTGGTTTGTTCTATTTTACGGTATATCAACACCTCAATGGGTTATTTAATGCCAAGATTTTTATTGCCGGTATTTTTTTTCAAAAATGTATTACTGGTAATAATGTATGGCTGGTAATAATGTATTACTGGTAATAATGTATGGCTGGTAATAATGTATTACTGGTAATAATGTATGGCTGGTAATAATTTTTCCCTTCCAAAATGTATTGCTGATTTTTTTTTCTAAAATGTATCGCTGGTATTAAAACCTATATTTATACTTCTATAGCGTTTTGACCCCTTTTGGGGTTAACTATTTTCCAATAGCTGGGACCCTAACAGCAGTACCAGCAATTAAGAGATGATTCCACGCTCCCCAAAATGTCTTGACCAGAGGCCTTGCTGTCGGATGTACTTTATCGTCATACCCAGGACAAGTGTACGCACGGACATTTTAATTAAATGACAGACCTAACAAAATATCCCTACAAAATAAAAAAACTTTAAAAAATGAATTTATTTATTAACGGATAATTTTTTTTTTAAATCAATAAAATCTTTTAATTATCTGATTATTTTATTGTTTTAAAAATTAACTTTCTTTTTCTTTTCTCCAACTTTTATGATTTTATTGCTCAGCTCAGGTTAGGAGTCGTCCAGACTGTTTGAAAGGGAATATATTATCCCAATGTCTTATTTCGAGCTCAATCAAATTGCCTGCATAGGCTGGTACTTGCGTGTACATTAAAATGTCACGAATACATCTAAGTCCCCCACAGACCTATATATTACAGTACACAGGCGCGTGGCACGTCAGACGCAAGCGATGTGTGACGGACAGGCAATCAGTTATCCTTTTATGATATAGATTTAAAATTATGGTTTGGCTAACAGCACTTAAGAAATATATCTCAGAAAAATATTTTTAAAAGTGTGTCTATTGCAAGAGGATACCGTGCACCAAATATGATGAGGTCTTAGCGAAAATGGAAACAAATAGGAAACTTACTTAACATCAGGAAGAAACAGCTGAAATCTCTGGGGCACATAATGAAGAAAGAGGGTTTGGAAATTTTGATACTCACAGAATACGGTTTAGTAATAACGAAAAAAAAAATTATTCAGAGCTGCAAGGAACAGGAAGTTAGGGAGAGCCATGATCGCCTGATTCTGAGGTGACACATTACAGAAAGAGAGAGACAATGTAATTTCCTGAAAACCAAAAAGGATTATTATTATTATTATTATTATTATCATCATCATTCGATTTCTGCTATGGACACACTACCTACCAAGTCT